GGTTACTGGCATTTCATTGGTCATTTTGAGATTCAGTACAGAGAAATTATAAACAATTTGTACATAATTATTTTTGTTGTTGCTGTTCGGGTTCACACTGGCTGCATTTCTGATGTTTGAGGTTGGAAGGGGATGCAGTATGTCCATTCTCCTGTCCTTGGCTGAGGAGGTCCTCGGAAACTGACTTGGCTCAGTATCCACAGCCAAGGTAAGACAAGAACTCTGCTCCGGATCTCCAGCCAGCTCAAATAGCCTTGCTTTTTAATACTTTAAAGGGGTTTTCAACAGATTTGCCCAGTGGGATCGGTCATTTGATCTCTTGATGGTTGCTTGAAGATCTAAGTAACTTAAAATCCTTGAAGCCTTCTATCTCGCCTCCATTTATCATGACATTGCTGATTGGTCCAATTATAAGTTTCATTTTCTTCGATGTTGAGGTGCAATCTACAGGGAATGGAATGGTATTTGATCTTCATTCATCACTGAGTGCTTCAAGTAACTCCCTCTGAGCAGTTACTGCTAACATCACCATTTTATGGATAAGAATGTGGAGTACATGTGGCTTATGTAATGTCCCCAAGGTCACTCTAAAGGCTGAAGTTCTGATGGGAGTCCAGGCGATGAGGTTTCACTACATGGGCTCAAAACCAGCCCTGCACGACGCCACTGGCCACTCCCTGTGGACCACCCCCGTGGCAGGCAGGGTGACCCTGTCCATCATCCTAATTCCCCTCACAAATGTCACCTCGCAGCCAATGCAGACAATGCCAAACCTGCCAACCCTCAGGCCTCACGACCCACTCTGGAAGAAATAGAGTTGGTTTTTTGAAAGGATTAAAAACATCGAAAAACTGCTGGCAAACTTAACAAAGGAAAAGAAAGAGGAGATGTAGATGTAGATCTAAAATTAGAGGGAAAAGGGGTGATATCACAACAGATCCAAATGAAGGAAAAAGAATAACAGCACAATATTATGAATGACTATACTCTATCAAGTGTGATAATCTAAAAGAAATGGACAAATTGTGTATGCTATGTATCCAATTTAACAGAGATGGATGTAGAATATCTGAACAGACCCATAACAAAAGAACTAATAGAGAAAGTCATCAAGAAACTTCCAACCAAGAGAAGCTCAAGACCAGATAACGTCATAGGGGAATTCTAGGAAGTATTCAGTGAAGAGCTGTCACCAATTCTACACAAACTATTCCAGAACACAGAAAGAGACAGCAAACTCCAAACTCATTCAATGAAGCAAGCATAACCCTGATTCCAAAACCAAGCAAACCACACAAAAATAGAAAATTACTAATATCCCTCATGAACAGATGCAACATTTTCAACAAAATCCTGACCAATGGAACCCAACCATGGTCATCATCATGACCAAATAAGATTCATACCTGGGATGCAATGATTCAATATTCAAAAAGTAAACAATGTAGTAAGAACCATATAATCAACAATAAATGAAGAAAAAGCAGTTGACAATATCCAACACTTGTTTCTAATAAAAAACACTCAATAAGAGAGGAATAAAAGGGAAACTCTCCAACATAATAAAGGGCAAATATGAAAATATAATAGCCAATATCATGCTCAATGCAGAAAAAAAGAATACCTTTATCCTGAAACAGGAAGTTGACAAGGATGTACCCTATCACCACTCTTATTCAACATAGTGCTGGAAGTCTCAACCAGAACCATTTCACGACAGAAAGAAATCAAGGGAATAAAACTGGACAAAGAAAAAGTGAAACTATTGCTATTTGCAGACAGTATGGTTTTTATATAGAGACACCCCAAAGGACTCCATAAAAAGACTGTTGGAAACAATTGAGGGATTTAGTAAAGTAACAGGATACAAGATTAACAAGCAGAACTGGGGCTCTGAAAAAGAAAACAATACCATTTATTAACAGCCACACAAAAGATGAAATATCTATGAATAAATCTGAGGAAACAAAAGTCCTTACAAAGAAAGTTAGAGAACATTATTATGAGAAACTGAGAGAGACCTACACAAAAATAAGAATATTCCATGTTCATGGATATGAATATTTAGTATTATGAAAATGTCATTACCTAAAGCAATCTACAAATACAATAAAATTCCTATACAAATCCCAACTTCATTCTTAAAAGAAATGCAAAAACTAATTACCAACTTCATATGAAACGAGAAGAGGCCAAGAATAAGTAAAGAATTTCTCAAACAGAAAAAGAATGTAGGAGGCCTCCCACTACCAGACCTCAAAATCTACTACACAGCCACAGTAATCAAAACAATCTGGTACTGGTACAATGAAAGATAGACCAATGGAACAGGATAGAAATCCCAGAAATAAAATTATCCACCTATGGGCAAGTGATTTTTAACAAAGGACCAAGAAACATTAAATGGGAAAGCGACACCTTCTTCAACAAATGCTGCTAGAAAAATAGGATCTCTATGTGTAGGACAGTGAAGCAGAACACACATCTCACCCCATGTATCAAAACAATCTCATGATGGATCAGAGACCTAAAGTAAATGCCAGAACTCTAAGGATCGTTGATGAGAAAATTGGGAGAAACACTTGAACATATCAAAAGATTTCATCAAAAGAGTAAAACGAATGAACAACGAATGAATTTTATTGGGGAAAAGTCTTTAGCAATGGCACAATGGATAAGGGACTAATTACTAAAATCTTTTGAATTCTGTAGCACTTCAATAAGAAAAAAACAAACAACTCAATTGCTAAGTGTGCAAAAGTCATGAGTAGAAAATTCACAAAGGATGATACTCAAATGGTTAACAAACACATGAGGAAATGCTCATGATCACTAGCCTTCTGGACATGCAAATCAAAACAATGCAAAACAAAAATCAAAACATGCAAATAAAATAAAATCACCTTACACATACACACGATATCCCAATTTAAAAAAAAAAACAGAGAATAACAAATGTTAGTGAGGGTGCAGAGAGATTGGAATTCATCTACACTGCTGGTGGGGTTGTAAATAAGCACAGGCATTATATGGAAAGCCATACAGTGCTATCTAAAACAACTTGGAATAGAAATATCTTTGCTGGGGATATACTCCAAGGAAATAAGAAACAGAACATGAACAGATGTGTATTTTCCCCTGGTCGTTGCAGCACAGTTTATAATAGCTAGAAGCTGGAGACAGGGCAAATGCTCACTAGTAGAACAGATAAAGAAACTATCACAGTAGAGTACTATGCATCCCTAATAATCAGTAATGATACCATGAAACACCTCACCACATGGATAGACTTGGACACCACTATGCTGAGTGGTTAGTCAATCACAGAAGCCCACTACTATAAAATTTGTAAGACAAAGGCAGTCTCTACTCTAGGGCCACATAATCTACTCCAATCTCCCAAGTAACTGCTAGTTATATATGAACCACGTGTTACCCACTTTACATGTCCATCTTAAAAAAATCACTTTGAGAGAGGAGACCTCACATCAGGTAGGGTCAGTTTATCCAGAAGGGAAGCATGAAGACCATTCAGCTGCTGCCATAAAACAGTGTACTGAGGCCACTTCACATCAACAGACACTCTGGTAGGATACATAGATAAGCAAACACTACTGGCTATTCAAGTCAAGATAGGGAGGAGGTATTTATTGGAGATGATTACACTTCTGTTGATGGGTAAACCAGGTAGAGCAACCTCCCATAGGGAAAAAAATGATAATACTTATATAGAACCCAAGGGATTTTACACTTTTTTTTTTTTGGTTGAGGGGGGCGGCTTCCATTCTTAACCTGATACTTTTGACTTAATTTTTATCTAGCCCTTTGTCACCCAGGCTGTATGCAATAAACTACTGGGACTTTAGACTCTATGCTTTCAAAGTCTACAACATCTTTCATAGGCCTCCTTAGAAGGATTTGATGTGGAACCCCCACTAATTGAACTGGCTGTTACCTCAAACTCACCTGTAGAAGATTGAAGGAAATGACATACTCCCTTGGACTTAAAGTTGAAAAGCCCTACTGCGAGAATAAGCAGATAACTGCTAACACAAAGTAATAGACTTGAAGGTCACTGTACTTTGGTTCTGATCTCTTGCTTTGAGGATGTCCAATAAAAGGTGGCAGGGACTATTTTATTTTTTTTAAAACCTTATGCATAGTTTTGAAACACACATTATAATCTATGTTAAAAACATTTAAATGAACAAATATAGAGGGAGTTTGGGAATAAGTGAAGTGACATCAGATAATAGTACGTTCGCTTCACAATACCTTATCTTTAAGCCCATAGTTAAGATAAGAAATCTGAAGGATAACTATAATATTGATCATCTATACCTTAAAAGCATAATACCTTACTTTTGTGTATATGTCACAATTTATAAAATGGCTTTACCATGATTCTATTTAATTCTTACATTAAAGTTGTACTGTAGGTAAGAGCCTTGGTGGTGTAGAGGTTACTCGTTGGACTGCAATCCACATAGTCAGCAGTTCGAAAGCACCAGCAGTTCTTTGGGAAAAAGACTGGGTTTTCTACTTCCATAAACAGTTACAGTCTTGGAAACCCACAGGTGGTCACTAGAGTCAGCACTGACTCGATGGCAGTGAGTGAGTGGGTAAGATAAGAATTACTTCCCAACTTTTGCTGATGATGTGGGAGAAAGATATTTCTGTACAGAGTTAAGAGTCTCAGAAACCCACAGGGGCAGTTCTAGTCTATCCTGTAGGGTCGCGGAGTCAGAATTGACTCGACGGTAGTGAGTTTGAGTTTTGGGGTTTTCTGTTGAAGAAGAAACGAATACTCAGAGAGATATAAAGATTATTCTAGGACAACATTCTAAAAATGTATAGGATTCTGCAAACACTGTCGGCATGTGCTCATGTGGATTAGTGCCACTAGAGAAAATATTGCCTAACCTATTAACTTCAAGTATAAATGTTAATTGTAAAAGTGGGTGGCTCTTAAACTAGAATGCAGTAAGCAGTGGACTCACCAAATCGGATACGTCTAATCTCCTCTGGTGAGACAGGTCGAAGTTTTCTTTCTGCTTTGATTTCTTCTAATATTCTTTCATGGAGGCTCCGTGGGCGTGGTGGGGTTGGTTTTAGTTTTCTAGCTGAAGCCTTGAAAATAAAAAGTAATGGCTAAAGACTTAATTTATTGTCCTTAAATTGATTTTTACTGAATTCCACTCATACAATATAACATTAAATTATATTTCATTGATTAAAATGTTACTTGATAATGTTCTTAGATTCATTGTCAAGTAATTAATTCTCAAGATCCCTAAAGCAATAAAGAGATTATTGGATAACACAATGACTTAGTCATTGAGATAATACTACTACTTCCTTTCTGGTCATTTAATACGCATAGGTTTAAGATACTTTGGTGAGCACTGACCTAAGCCAGGAGGAGAACAGGGGAAACATAATCAACAATCAAGCCAGATTAGATATTTTTATCATATGGTCACTAGAAAGAATCCTGTTAACAGAGGACTCGATTACTATTAAAGTAGATGTACATTAGTGTTCAACTAATTTTAAGCAATTTTGCTAAAGTTATCATTATGTTTACTATAAAGTAGAAGAATAAATTGAAATGTAATCTATATTTTATATATTACTATGATTGTCTATGGGGCACCTAGCTGACAAAAACAATTAAGAGCTTGTGGTATCGCTGAAAGAGTGGTGGCTTAAATCTACCCAGGGATGTGCCAGAAGAAAGGCCTGGTGACCTTCAGAAAGATCACAGCCCTTGAGAAATACAATCTTCCTCTAGTTCCTAAAGGTTTCCTCCCCGCTCCCACTACCATGACTCGAATTCTATCTTGCAAGACTGGCTAGACCAGAGGAGGTACACTGGTACAGATAGGAACTGAAAATACAGGGAATCCAGGATGGATGAGCCCTATAGGACCAGTGGTGTGAGTGGCAAAACAGGGAGGGTAAAGGGAGAATGGGTAGGAAAGAGGGAACCGATTACATGGAACTGTGTGTGACCTCCTCCCTGGGGGGCAGACAACCAAAAAGTGGATGAAGGGAGACGTCGGACAGGGCAAGACATGACAAAATACCCATTTATAAACTATCAAGGGCTCATGCGGGAGGGGGGATCGGGGAGGGAGGGGAAAAATGAGGACCTAATGTCGGGGGTTTCAATGGAGAGAAAATGTTTTGAGAAACGATGTACAAATGCGCTTTACACAATTGATGTGTGTATGGATTGGGATAACAGTTGTATGAGCCCCTAATAAAATGTTAAAAAAATAAATAAATAAAAATAAACAAAGATACAAAGATCACAGCCCTGATAACCTTATATAGATAGCACTACTGCTTTGAACACATGGGTTGTAATGAGTCAGAATTGACTTGGTACTAACCATTTCCCCCCCTTTCTTCTCTAAAGTCATTCTATTGGGACCTAATCAAGATATCAAATCATTCCATAGTTCAATCACAACACAATTATTACTGCAATCAGTTTTAAGATAACTAATCACTGTCTTTGAATTTCTGAATAACTTGAAACAGACTTTTGAATAAGTTACGGTGTTTCCGCTATAGGAAATCAAGGCTCAGAGAGGCTGATGGCCATGCTCAGAGACGTGACCGCTAAATTGGAAAGGTTGTGTGTTAATCTAAATTCACTTGACATCATGTTTTATCTACTCTACATGACCTGCCTTCTTAAAGTAATTTCCTTGGTAGCCTTTCTCTCTCCTTCCATAAAGAATTTTTAAAAAGGATCATTAAGATTAGATTTATGGGTCTGGGAACTCTCAAGACTGTGGCCCTAAGACATCCTTCAAACCTGAAACTGAATGCGCTTCTGGAGTTCACCTTCAGCTAAACAACAGGCAGGCATATGAAGTGAACAATGACACCGAGGAGAAATGTGCATCTCAGAACAATCAACCATACAAGACCAAAAAGGTAGCATTTGCTTAAAAACAAAAGTTCCGAAGGCAGAATGGGGCTGGAAGGAGGGAGCATGGAATGAGGAATCTAGAGAGGAAGGGGAAGAAGGCTGCTATGCTGGGGACTGAAACTCCGATCAGAAAACAAAATAGATAAAAATTTTGAAGGAGAAACTATTTTGCCCCGTGACTTACACACAAACCACAATAAAATGCCTTTTAAGGGGGACATTATTAATCATGCTTTACATGTGCACAAACTGAGATAATACTACTACTTCCTTTCTGGTCATTTAATACGCATAGGTTTAAGATACTTTGGTGAGCACTGACCTAAGCCAGAAGGAAGAGAACAGAGGAAACATAAATCAACAATCAAGCCAGGTTAGATATTTTTATCATATGGTCACTAGAAAGAATCCTGTTAACAGAGGACTCGATTACTATTAAAGTAGATGTACATTAGGGCTGAATTATTGTGAAATAGTAGTAATATGACAATTAAATCAAGGGAAATAGGAGTACTATTGAGGAAATTGAGAACTATTCATTATTAAATTTAGTCTTTATGACAAAGTATTTGGCTGATTTTGTGCCATAAACAAGTTGTTTAAAGTTAAAAACATCCTACGACATTTCTTACAGTGAATACTTTCATATATTTGTTTGTGACACAAGATTGTGATTTACACACCTGTGCTTGATTTTGATAGAAAAGCGTAAGGGAGAACTGGCCATAAGGTAGAACTGAGTTCCTGAGATGAAACCCTAAAGGCAACTGACTAATTTAATCCCCAGTCAAGAGGAGTGGCAAATTACATACTGGATTTAGAGGTGGCCTTGATCTGATAAAGTCCAGGATGATTTCATGTGCACTTTTTGTTAACCGAGGAGGAATATCACCATTCACCTGAAAAGAGACAAAAAGTAGGTTCACATGATCTTAAGATTATTATTTTAGGTTTCTGGGTATAGCTTTTATCTCAGCATGTGTGGCAAATTTACTATATTATAGTTGACTCTATTAAAGACACATCCTAAATCAATAAAATGGGGGAACAAATGGCTGTATGATTAAAAGAAAAATATGTAAAATTGAAATAAGTGCAAGTTCACTAAAGTGGAAAGCTGTATACGATTAATATTTTTCCCATAAAGTTTCTAAAACTATGAATGCCAACTGCATAAATAATATTTATAATACTAAATATTTTATAATTTAAAAACCTCACCTACATGTAGATCAGAATTCAGATTCTCGTGGAGTCTAGATTTTCTGGAATCACAGAAGCTGGATGAACCCTTGAAACTGCTGCTCTGAGAGAGAATCTTCAAATCTTAAACCAAAAATTATCCCTAGAAGTTTTCTTAAAACCAAACAATTGCTTAGCTATCCTAGTAAAGAATGTCTGTCTTGAGCGCTGTGAACTTTTAAGAACAATATGGGATCGGATGAAGAACAATTAGGTGAATGATGAGATAGGAAATACACTTTAGAAAGGGCTCATACTTTAGGCGGGGGCAGAGTTTATGTTACCAAGGATGGGTGAGAATAGTTGCACAACTCAAATGTAATCAATGTCATTGCATTGTATGTGTAGAAATTATTGAATTATGTTCTGCTGTGTATAGTGTGCAATAGAAAGATGGGGCTTTCCCATTTTTCCCATACAGAGTTATAGTCTTGAAAATTCACAGGAGCAGTTCTACCCTGCCCTACATGGTTGCTATGATTCAGCATAAACATAACAAGAATTGTTAAGAATGGTGCAAGAGTAGACACCTAACAACATCTTTTCATGTGCTTGTCCATCATTATGTATACCTTATTTGTTCAAATGTCCAGTCAATTACTTTGCTTATTTTCTGATGGGGCTGTTTGTCTTTGTTTTTTGAATTATAACCATTCTTTATATATTCTTGATGCTAAACCTTTATGAGAGATGCGATGCCCCTATTTTTTCTCCCAATAAATAGGCTCTATCTTCTGTTTCCCATATGCTTTTACTTTAACTTTGTTTCCATTACAATAGCAGGATTAAGAAATCGATTAATTGAGGCCAACATTGTAGGTTCCATTCCTAGAGAACACACATTCAGTTTCCTGACTAGTCGAAAACCGGATCCTATGTCCCAACTGCAAATGTGGGTCAGAGCTCACAGGGTGACAGCATGCCAATATGGATGCAACACCGGGAAGTCCTCGCCATTCTAAATTAACAGCCTAAATACCATTTTGTCCTGGGACGGTGAATTAGGTTAATCAAAATACAGAACACATCTTAAAACAATGATAAATGACTCCTGGGTGAACATAAATGAGGCACAATGCCTTATGTACATGAACCAATAAGCAAGCTTATTTATCGTTATTATATAATGTACCGTAGGTTGTTTATTTTTCCAGTGATGGACGTTTAGGTTGTATCCATCTTACTATTTTGAGTAGCACTTTGATGAACGCAGATGTGTACATATTTAATCAAATGTGGTTACTACTCTTAAATATGCATCAAATAGTGATTGTTGGGTCACATTCTATTCCAAGCTTTTAACATAAGTACCATACTGTTTTGCTTTAAAAAAAAATCATTTTACTGGGGGCTCATACAACGCTTATCACAATCCATATATACATCCACTGTGTCAAGCACATTTGCACATTTTTTGCCATCATCATTCTCAAAGTACCATACTGTTTTCAACAGTGTTTGTACCATTTTACAATCGAGGTTTATGGTGTCTCTACACTGTCACCCTCATTTGCTGTTTTCTGTTTTTAAATTTTGCTATTAATGCTGGAATAAGGTGCCATCTCATTGTGTTCTGATTGTTAATACTAAAAGGGGATTGGTTAGCGTTCATTTCCCTGGCTATAAGGAAGAGTGAGCCATATTGGAAGAACAGAAGAGGAAAACCTTGAGGATCTTGGGAGGGCATGTTCACAAACATCGTCTGAAATGGTGGGGGCTGCTGGGACCAGATACCTCACACTGTAGCATGGAGACTCAGAGGGGCAGCACTGAAACATGGGATACTTTCTCAATTCACTCAAGACTACGGAATTGTGGGCGGAGTGATAGGAGGGCTAGCTTCCTGGCCCATGGAAGTGTAGGCGAAGGGTCTACACAGCTGAGAATGAGAACCAGAGATACACTTGGCTCCTGGCTGAGGAGATAAATGATTGTGTGGTAGTCACATAATCTGTTGTCAATTTGAGACTGAAGAGTGAAGGGGTGGAGTTTAGTCTGTCAATCAAATCAGAACTTGATGACCTCATCTAGAGGCACTAAGGAGATAAATAGCTCGATGGAGGTGGAACACATGCTCACTCCCTGCAAGACATTACTGACACCGAGCCTGATGGAGATATGCTGATGCAGCCAGAGCCACATGGAGACCCACACCAGCGCTGAGATGCTTCTACTGTCATTGGATCCACAAGACTTTGGGTCCACTGTCCTGTGATCATCCTGTACTTGGCATCATTGATGTGTTTTTTAAGTCTGAAGAAGAATTTATAGATTGGTATTGAACACATGGGTGAATATTAGACATGGATTTGATCTGGACTGGGATGTTTTCTCAATATTCAATTGCTCTTGTCCCTTCATTGTATCCCTTCTGTGGGGGAATGTCCAATTGTCTACGGATGGGCTTTGAGTCTTCACTCCAACCCTCCTCATTCACATTGTTTGTTTTAGATCTTTTGTTACCTGATACCTGATCCAGTTGACACCTCATGATCATACAGGATGGTGTGCTTCCTCCATGTGGGCTTCTTCCTTCCCTAATAGATGACTGTTCATTTAACGTTAAGCCTGTAAGACCCCAGATGCTATATATTTTGATAGCCGGGCACCATCCACTTTCTTCACCACATCTTCTTATACACTCATTTTGTCTTCTGTGATTATATCGGGAAGGTGAGCATCAAAGAGTGGCAGATTATTAGAACAAAATGTTCTTATGTTTAAGGAGGCCTTGAGTAGAGGCCCAAAGTCGTCTGCTATCTTAATACTTAACATACAAATATATGTACATTGGCCTCTATCCCTTTCATTATAAATTAATATATGTACATATATACATGCCTATAGCTATACTTCTATAAATAGCTTTTGCTTCCTATTTCTTTCCTATATTTCCTTTTACCTTCCTCCTGTCCCACTATCTTGCTCACCGTCCACTAGGCTCTCAGTAATTCCTCTTGGATACTCTTTAACCCATTTTAAATTCACTGTAGTTTTTAGTACTTTATGATTTATTTTCCATTGAAGTTTTTCTCTGTTTTACTTTGTTGCTGTTAAAAAAAAGTATCTTTTTCTGTATATGAAATCCAAAATAGGAAAATCTACAGAGATAATAACTGGATTGATGGTTTATTGTGTGTATGGCAGGGAGTGTGGGAGGAAATGAGGAGCTAACAACATTCAATACAAGAAAGAAAACATGAAATTGATTGTGGTGGTGAACATACAATTCTTCTTAATGTAACTGAACTATTGAATTATGGGATATGAAAATTATAGGCTAGTAAGACTGTTAGCAACATATATATTCTTTCCTTGTTACTTACCATCACTTTTCGTAAAGTGTATCTTTTGGAGCGAATGTCATCCATTAGCATTTCATAAGGAGTGAGCTGATATTCAATAGGCAAAGGATTGTACTGTCGCTCTTGGACCTTCTTAAGTTTTACACCATTTCTTAAATCTCGCATCACCTGTACCCAGAATCGAGCCTGAAAGAATCAAGCATGGAGAGATATCATAAGCAAATCAAATAACACAGTTATAAAGAATAAGCAAAGAGCTTGGATTAGAAAACTATGAATAACGCAAATAAAAATAACATTTAAAACTGGATTTTAGAATATCAAGAGCTGACTAGAGCGGTTGGGAATCCACATACTCTACAAACTGAAAGGCCTAAGTTTAAAACCTAGTTCTCCCACGGTGGGATATTTCATTAATGGCACCATACTTGACCCCACCATTTGTCTACTCTCTGCTACATGGTATTGCTCAATAAAGAAGACAAGCATATTTTCTACACCAGGACCTGGGGTTTGCTTATACAATTTGTTTGGCCAATGGAATCAGTAGTGAGTATGGCCCAACCGAAGCATCTAAAATAGTGTATAAATGGGCTTGCTCTTTTGTGCCTCTGCTACTACTGTGCAAAAAGCATACCTATCTTATCATGCTTTTCCCAGAAAGGACAAGAAACATGTAGGGTAGAGCTACCAAACTGGTCCACAAACGAATGAGTAAAATAAACGCTATTTATTTCCACTGGGCACTTGGAATTTTCAGTTACACAGTATTTCTGTTGCTATAGTTAACTAATACCACCACACACTAACGTAATGTATAAAAGAAAATGGTACTTTGTAACTTGTTAAAAGATCAAAAATTGATATTTACTGCTCAGTACATAGGAAAAGCTCAAAACATACCAATTTTTATGATGCTACTTACCTTTGAACAAGTTATTTAATCTGTTTTATCTATTAAAATTATTGAAAGTAAATTATATATGGAAATATTTATAATAATATAAAACATTTTAATACAGGGCTTCAAAAAATTCATAGAATAGTGAATTAAGAGATAATGAAACTTATCATAAACTTTGTTAACCATATAATGAGTTATCTACTGTCGTAAAACAAATCAGTGTGCTATTTAACTGAAATGTTATTACCTATTCTATTAGTCTAGGTACTTTAGAGAAACAAATCCACAGCAACTCATGTATAAGAGAGTTTTACGTAAAGAAAGTGTGCATCACGAAAACATCACAACCCAATGCTGCCCAAGCCCACAAGTCCAACATTAACCCATTAATCCAACACCAGTCCACAAAGTCCTCCACCTCACAAAGAGGCAATGATGCCGACTGCAGGAGGAAAGCTGAGTCAGTGAACGAATAAACATCTCAGCACTAGCAGGGGTCTCCACCCGGCTGCTCCAGCACCCAGGGCTGCATCGGGATAGGTCCATGTGGCTTCTCCTTGGGTATGTCTTGTAGGAAGTCAATCTTGCAAGTTGAAGCAGGGAACTGCTAAGGCAGCTGCACCCTGGTGCGACCATCACAAAGCAAGAGACCCGAGAGGTAGAAAGGCGAGGCTCACCACCCATTTATCCCTCCGCCTTTCAATTAGCCCCACATGTGATTATCGGCCAGGTTGGCACAATTAACTAACTCAATCCACCCCTTGCCAACCTGGCACCTGTATATAATTCTTAGCTTCATAATTGCAATTAAGTAACACCTATACCTTAACCCTATAATCCTGTGAATTTTCCCCCTACCTATGAAAGTTTGTAAGCCAACCACTTCATGCCTTTATCTCCCCCAATTTTGGGTATCCAATTTATATACTGCCCACTTATATCAACCCAGTTCTCAGAGAAAACAATCATATTTTTCAACACGAAGCATCTTCATTCCAGTTGGAACCTTGTGAAGTCTGCATCCATAAGCAAAGTCAAATCCGGACAGGCCATCCATAAAGTCAGCAACAATATGCACCAGTTCACAGGCTCAAAAATCTCCAGCTGGTCGGGTTCTGGTCAACTCAATGTGGGCTGCCTCACTCAGCCTCCACAGGGTGCCCATTGGTCGCCTTGCCTTAGTCCATGGGCTCTCACCAACTCAACAAGCCTAGCCCCCTTAGGCTAGGTCATGAACCTTGGACCAGTCAACCCGCTCTCGTCTTCTCCTTTTTCCCCTATAAACCAAGTCCACAGGTGTCAGTCTCCAAACTCAACCTGTCTCTTTATTGCTGCATTTCTCCCACTTCCACTCAACAAGTAGATCCAGGTGGTCACCTACCAAGCATTTCAGCCTGCTCACAGGCTCCCTTTAACATTCAGTCCCAGAGAGGAGTTTTCTTCATGGTTGCAGATTTTTTCCAGCTACTGACAAAGACTACTGGTTCCTGAGTACTCCAAAGCACTGGGTGGACAAATATTTCCAAAGCTTTTTTACAGACATGGTCTAAACCCATTTAAAGATAAAATTTTAATGACTGAAGCAAGTGGACTAACAAACTTTCTATTTTCCTAACTTCACATATTTTCCCCAGAAAAGCAACCATGTAAATAGTGTGGCTTTATCTGCCCACTGGCTAAACAAAGAAGGAAAACTTCCAGGAGGGAGAGGTCAAACAAACATCTACTCTCTATCTTATGATTTGTTTCTTCAGTACCCCACTCCCAAGGTACAATAATGTATTAGTCTAGGTACTTTGGAGAAACAAATCCACAGCAACTCGTGTATAAGAGTTTTATGTAAAGAAAGTGTGCATCACGAAAACATCACAACCCAATGCTGCCCAAGCCCGCAAGTCCAACATTAACCCATTAACCCAACACCAGTCCACAAAGTCCTCCACCTCACAAAACAGAGGCAATGATGCCGACTGCAGGAGGAAAGCTGAGTCAGTGAACGAATAAACATCTCAGCACTAGCAGGGGTCTCCACCCGGCTGCTCCAGCACCCAGGGCTGCATCGGGATAGGTCCATGTGGCTTCTCCTTGGGTATGTCTTGTAGGAAGTCAATCTTGCAAGTTGAAGCAGGGAACTGCTAAGGCAGCTGCACCCTGGTGCGACCATCACAAAGCAAGAGACCCGAGAGGTAGAAAGGCGAGGCTCACCACCCATTTATCCCTCCGCCTTTCAATTAGCCCCACATGTGATTATCGGCCAGGTTGGCACAATTACCTAACTCACTTATTAAAATTAATATGTAGCTCAAACTGCAATATAAATCAGTTTCTCATAAATTAAGTAATGCACAGGGACTCAGGGACAGTTTAACACCCAAAAGTCCAGTAACATTATCCATCACTATGACAAAAAAAAGGACAAAAACCACGAGTATATCAAGACACAGAAAAAGCATGTGACAACATTCAACACCCATTCCTAAGTAAGACACTCAAGATAGGATTGGAAGGAAATTACCTCAATATAATACAAGCTATATATGAAAAGCCAACAGCCATCATTACAGTCAATGGAAAAAAGATGGAAGACTGTCCCCCTGAAAAAGGAAATCAGACAAGGCTGCCCCTTGTATCCACTTCTATTCAAAATCATTCTGGAGGTCCTAGCGAATAACATAAGGCAAAGGAAGGACATAAATATATCTGGGGAAAGAAGAAGTGAAATTATCATTATTTGTAGATGACATGATTCTATATGTTGAAAAATCCCCAAAATCCACATTAGGCGTGCTGGAAGCAATAGAGGAATTTGATAGAGTGTCAGGTAACAAGATCAACAAACAAAAGTCAATTGGATTGCCATATATACTGGATAACAACAAAGAAAAGGAGATCAAGAAGGTGGAACCCTTCACAATAGCCAAGCATAAATTGAGACTAAGGATATACCTAACCAAAAAATCAAAAGATCTGTACGAGGAAAACTATAGAACATTATTACAAGAAACCAAAAGTGACTTTCACAAATAGAAGAATATCACATGATCATGGATTGGAAGACTCAATACTGTAAAGATGTCAATCCTATCCAAGGTACTACATAAATGATAATCCCAATAAAAATACCAGCATCTTTTTTCAAAGAAATGGAAAAACTGATTACAAACTTCATATGGAAAGGGAAGAAGTCCAAAATTGGCAAAGAACTCCTCAAGAAACAGAATAAAGGAGGAGGGCTTGCATTACTTGACTTTAAAACCTATTATCCAGCCACAGTTGTCGAAATAGAATGGTGCTGGTATATAAGGACAGATACTTGGACCAAGGGAAAAGAACAGAAACCCCAGGAATAAAATCAGCAGCATACAGGCAACTAATCTTCAGTAAGGGCCCCCAAAGCACCAAATGGAAAGTGGATGTCCTCTTTAACAAATGGAGCTGGAAGAACTGGCTATCTACCTGCAGAAAAAGAAAACAATAACAACAAAAAACAATATTATTTTCTCACTCTACACACAAGAAATTCAAGGTGGATCACAGATCTCAAGGCAAAACCCAAAACTATTAGGATCAACAATGAGAAAACTGGGATAAACCTAAGAACTTTGGTGCCGGGAATACATAGGCTACCAGAAATAGGAAATGAGATACACACAGATGAAGCTAAAATAGACAAGTGAAGCATACTAAAGATAAAACACCTGTGTACATCGAAAGATTTCATCAAGAGATTAAAAAGAGAGCCCACAGACTGGGAAAAGATATTTAGCAATGACATATCAGACAAGGGGCTTATTATTAAAATCTATAAAACTCTGCAAGCCTACAATAAGTAAAAAATTAATTGTCCACTGAGGAGGTGGGCATAAGACTTGAACAGAAGATTAACAAGTGAGGAAATCTGATTGGCCAATAAACATATGAGAAAATGTTCTGATCATTAGCCATCTGGTAAAGGCAAATTAAAACAACTATGAGATACCACCTAACACCCTCAAAGACAGCCCAATTCAAAAAATCACAAAGCAACAAATGTTGGAGGGGTGGAGTGACATAGACACTCTCATCCACTGCTGGTGGTCTTGGATATATGTACAGCCACTATGGAAAACAATTTGGTGATATGTAAAACAGATGGAAATAGAGTTACTTTATGGCCCAGAAATCCCGCTACTGGGCATATACCCAGAAGAAATCATAAACAGACCACGACCAGACATCTGCACTGCAATGTTCACTGTGGCACAGTTCACAATTGCAAAGAATTGGAAACAACCTAAATTTC